TTCAAGATTCAGAATTCTGATCAATCATATTGATGAAATCAACTCTTCGGGGAGAATCTGAAAATACAATGGAAAATAGGTTGTTCCAGTTAAAAAAAAACTAATAGTACCCTGAACATCGTTTGTTCCGAGCACCTTGTATTTTCTGATGTAACGGAAAAAAACTCTATCACATATGATTTCAGATGATATTTAAAATGTTGCAATCGGTTCAATAATAACTGCGCTAGAAGGGGGACACATTTATGGTGACTCACCCTGTACAGCATCAGGTAAAGCACATCACCCCTCATCTTCGCCAGAACCCACCCTTTATCTTCGGACCTCATTCGTTCTCCCGACTTCCGCCTCGCATATTCATGAGATAGTCTCCGCGAACACCGATACATCATCGCGTGGACGGTGGCATTCAGCCAGGCAGAATCTTTGCAAGCAGGCCTATTAAACGGTAGTTAGCGTATCTCGGTATCTCTCGGAACACTCGGTCGGGACAATCTGCCGAATCGACGAAAAATCACGGACTCTGCTACCCTCATTTGTAGGGGGATTCTGTTTCACCATCGTCGAATGATGTACCTACTCGAAGTCGAATTCATTTCCTATTCTATTTCTCGATAAAGTCGCGATCGAATTCGACTTCGGAAATCGTCGGTTTTTTGGCGAAATGGGATGAAATTTTGATCCAAAGAAACGAGCACCGAGGCCAAAGGTCACAAATTTGAGGTTATGATTATATTGTCATAATTGTACATTATACATCAAGGGACAGAAATGCAAGATTTTTCCCAAGGTACGAGGGAAAAATAGCATTCTGTCCTGAGGTGTATATACTATTTTTCACGCTGGCGAAAACACAGAATTTTTTTATGTTCAGAGAACATCGTGAGAACCAAGGGAAATAAGGTAGGAATTGGCGTTCTCCTTAAATTTCTGGAGGTGATATGCCTCGGGGAACACCTCTCTTGGCAATGTGTTCCAGAGCCTCGCTGTTCGTTGGATAAACGAGTCTTTGGAAAGAGATGTTCTGCATGCAGGTCTCCAAAAGTCCAAAGTGACCACGAAGGGGTGCGAAGCCTCAACTCGAGGGGTTAATCTCGCGGGGACTGCCAAGGGAGGAACAATTGTTGATATTTCAGAAGAGCGTCGTCCATGAAAATATCTATATAAAATAGAGCCAGATCGCCAACTTTCCTACGGTGTTTCAGAGAAGTGAGTGAGTTTGTGAGCGAGGCATCACCCACGGGACGAATTGCCTTTTTTGGACAGAATTCAACAGTTTCAGGGTATTTTTGGGTGCTGTGTGTGGGTTGTGAGAAGTATATGTATATTATATGTATAGGTAGATATGTCGAAAAAAATCTGCACAAGTAAGAAATTAGGTATTTATAAATAATCATCATTTTAGGAGCGACCTCTTATAGGAGTTGTTTTTCAAAGGTTAAAGACTAACCTACTATTCTTTGGTTAAAGTCAGCACTCATCTGATGGACCTAACCCACTCTAACCTACCCACACCCATAATAAACATCCAGGTAAATCAACCGTGAAATCTTGGCCCATTCATGCATTCGGTTTCGGACTATCTCATACAAAACACAACAAAACAAGTGAGTCATCACATTTACAATACTTATATATAGGTACCCCATGATAAATAGTGGAATAATAGACAACAACTTATTATAAAATTCGGCTCTATAAATAATGGGTACAAAGGCCGTCCAAACATTTTGGAGTTTGTTTGTGATTCGATAAGAAATATTAGAAAGTTTCCCTGATATAGATAAAACCACTACCGAAACTTTGTATTTATATACAGGGTGTTTCCGAAAGTTGAGCGATATATGAAGTGAGGATATATATATATATACATATATAAGAAGACGAAAAAACAAATGATTACTATAGGTTACCTAGGTGCATATGGACCCGGATGTAGGCTATTTGGAGCCTTAGGTCACTCCTCCACTATCTTCCAAGCTGAAATACATGCCATCAACCTTTGCGCCCAAAGGTACCTGAGCAAAGACCTGAGGGGTGCCAACATATATATCTGCTCAGACAGCCAAGCCGCACTAAAAGCCCTAAAATCATTCGTTTTCACATCAAAGATCACATGGGACTGCTTTGAAACACTCATGCAACTGGGAAAGGATAACAAAGTCACACTTATGTGGGTTCCATGGCATGAAGGAATCAAAGGCAATGAGGCAGCTCATCGCCTTGCAAAAAAAGGTGCAGCATCTGCACTTTTCGGTCCTGAGCCTTTTTGTGGGATAAGCAAATGTCACCTAGAGGAAGAACTCAGGAAATGGGAAGAAATTTAAAAGTCCTCCTACTGGAGAGCAACTCCAGGTCAACGACAAGCGAAAAGGTTCATCAACCATTCGCAGAACAGATACAAAGAGCTACTCAGCCTCAGCAAACCAGAGCTAAAGCTTATCACAGGCTTTCCCACAGGACACGGCCCTCTGAGGTACCACCTCAAAAAGATGGGCCTGGCGGAGACTGACACTTGCCGCTTTTAACAATGCGACCGAAACCGCGGAACACAATCATACTTTGCTCATGTGAAGTATTAGTCCGCCAAATGCTGAACCACCTAGAACAGGTCTATCTCTATATCTATCTCTATCCCTGCTGAGGTGGAAAATTCAACCGTCAGGAAAATTGTATAGGCTTCATCAGAAGTCTAGGGTTAGCGGACCAAAACTAGATAGGGGTAATCACAATAGATCTTCTAGGTCGCAGTGATCGAGAGGTCTCCTAGACTATACGACCCATCTACAATCTACAATCTACCTAGGTGAAACATTTTTACGAAAAAAAATGAATGGTTAGAACCGTTTAGAACTCGAACCCAAACTTTGATTTCGGCGAGGTCTGAAGCACTGAAATAACCAATGACTTATAGACTTAGACCATGTTAATGTCATCTAACGCGTTCAATAATAGCTGAAAGATGATAAATGTGGTGAATGAAAGTGTAAATCTTTTGAACATTTTTCATAGCTTCAGACATTTTTTTTATACCTACAACATCGTATAAGTAGGCACAGCGTGTCTCATTTCAAACAAACCCAGCTATTTGTCGTGCGATCTTTGCCAAATTTGAACTAGTATATGACTAACCATCAGTGTGATCAATTTTAGACAATTTTCCGTGCATTTTTATTGAAATAAAGGAACTTTTTTACAGGAAAACGAACCTCATAATATTGCTCTTCATGGTTTCAAACCCCCATACCTATTTAAATGATCATATGTTTCCTATATGAAGGGTTTCCAAAAAACAGGCATACATATCTAGACAGCATTTTTGCGAAATAATATAATTATTTAGTCGACGGAAACGAGAAATCAACATAACATAATATAGTATACCTATAAGTATATCTTGTTTCTTCTTTAAATCATGATTGTCTATAACTTACCGGAGCTATTGAACTATCTTTCGAGACTGAAAATGAAAAATATTGAGCCACTCCTGATAATGTTAATTTAGGAATTAGGTGATTGTATGCATGTGGAGGTACGAAAGCATGAGGAACAATAATATGGAAAAGTTAGTTCTCCTGATGCAAAAAAATTCCTATATGTAATATGATTTCATAAAAATCGACCCCTTTTCATTTCAATAAAAAAGCAGTGCGCCAAAATGAAAATTTGTCTCCGAAAAACTTACCGGTTTGAATTTGGTACGAATCAAGCGACTTATTATAGCTGATGAGATATATATAGAGGAGGGACGTTAAAAGTAAACACACCAAGGCCGTACCAGGATTTTTTTCGGGGGGTGAGGGGGGTTCCAAGAAGAAACAACTATGGACTATATAAGGCCACAAGAGAGACTCAGTAATTTGGCAATTGTATCCATAGAAGTGACCTTATGGATTGTATTCCATCAGATGGGTTGAATGAAGATTTTGCATATTATTATTCGTTAATCCTTATACTTATATGTCTAAGACTTGTCAAGATCTTCTAAATGTTATATGGAGATGAGTATAGTATATCATGCTGATTCAAAACAGTACACTTCTTTTCATTTGATGAGCTTCAGTTTTCGGAAATACTCATTTTCTTCATTTGCAAACATCAAATTATAATGATGATTTAAAATTATTGATACGGTATACCTATAAATTAACATGTATACCTATTACATATTTCATTTCAAAATTAGATAAGCAATAGCGATTTTTTCAATTTTGTGTGTATATACCCCCTTATCTCTGATATATCAGCTACAGAACTATAAATATATAGTTATTAGCATGTATTTTAATTTTATTTATGTGTATACCCATCACCCATGTATACACTTTTTCTGAAATGGGGGGTATATAAGGGGGGTCAAATTATATTTTGCACACAGGCGGCCGCATGGTTTGGCGCGAACCTGCAAGATATTATGATTCCCCGACGGTAAACAGATAATACATATAGTCGATCCTATATATTATATAAGCTCACGAGCATGTACCTACCTATACCTCTATAGCAAAAAGGTATGTGATTTTATAAAAAATCATTGTGTGTTTACCAATGTAAGCATCACCACTTATCAGTGAATCTGAAATGACTCCAAATGGGTTATTTTTAATTGAATTTCCAATTCTTGCGTCACATTTTGATGTTAAAGATTATATATAGTATATGTGACCAATTAACAGAATTGCTGGGTTTTCCAAATCCAAAGTTTGTAATCCATTGTTTCATCCACACGAATTAGTAAGATAAGGTATTTGGCGAACAAAGATTGAATCGTCATTTCCCAGAACGAAGATAGCACCTCGGAATTGGTCATCGAAATTACCAACTTCACCACGCCCCCAACACACAGACAGACCATAACCCCAAACCGATAATATGTACCACGAAAAAAAAAACGCACCACACATACGAACAGTTAACCCAGAAAAATACACTTAATTACCAAGAATTCGTTACTGCATGCACTCCACACCACTCGCACATCCGAGAAATCCCTAGTTCCACCGACGCCCGTTACAGCAGCGCCGATCCAAGAAGGCGTCGCCACACTACCCCCCTCCAACCTGCCGCTACAAAAGATAAGCGGCCCGCCAATAGCGGTCTGTAGCGCGACCTTCGTCGCCATGGCAACAGGCTGGCGAGCCACCCGATTGGCCGCTCCGTTGCTATGGCGATTTCCCCCTCCGGCTACCCAGTATTTGACTATCCAGCGCTCTGGGTACTTCAGACTAGCTTGTAGTATCTAAGTAAACAGGCTGCGAGAGGTATTTGTTTTTCCAATCAGTGTAGGTTTTGGAATACCTAAAGTGTTAAGTTGTTTGTGAATTTGATCGTGATGTAAACAATGAAACAAACCCAGAGTTTGAGTTAGAATCAATTGATACAGTGTGGGACCCTTTCGCAAACACATACGACCCCCCGCGCGCGCGAGTGTGTACCCCAATACCAGTGCAATAAGGTAAAGTGCAATATGTTAACCCAGAAACTGTACCCGGACGTGAACCCGATGAGTACCAGTACCAACGCCATGTCTCCCATGACGCCTACCTACTCCATGAACTCCATGGCCATGGCCCAGATGAACTGTTCCCCCCAAGCTCCCACCATGTTCGGATCCACCATGCTCAACACCGGAATGTCGGGCAGCATAGCTCCCATGAACAGGATACAGTCCAGGATGGACCAGCCCATGAACGACGGTCCCCAGCTGGGTTACACAACCATAGGCTCCCCCATATCGAACATGAACGCTTGTATGGGCGCCACAATGTCTTCAATCAACAATTACAACGCGTCGATAGGTCGTGGGGACTTGGGCGGAGGCGATACCTCTCCAAACAGCGCCCTACAAAGAGCTCGATCGGACAAACCTTACAGGAGATCCTACACTCATGCCAAGCCACCTTACAGCTACATCTCCCTTATCACCATGGCTATACAGAACAGCCCACAGAAGATGCTAACGCTGTCCGAAATCTACCAGTTCATAATGGACTTGTTCCCGTTTTACAGACAGAACCAGCAACGGTGGCAGAACTCTATAAGGCACTCGCTAAGCTTCAACGATTGCTTCATCAAGGTGCCAAGGACTCCCGACAAGCCTGGTAAAGGTTCCTTCTGGAGCCTGCATCCAGAGTCCGGCAACATGTTTGAGAACGGTTGCTATTTGCGGCGCCAGAAGCGCTTCAAAGACGACAAGAAAGAAGTGGTGAGGTCGTCGCATAAAAGCCCCTCGCACAGCGCTGATAGTAGCAGCAGCGGTAAGAAAACGCCGCTGCAGCACAACGACGACCTAGCTAAAGCCCACCACCTGGACAAAGTCAACGACAACTTGGGTCCGATGCTCAATCTGCATCCCAGCAAGCTGGACGTGGACCAGATGAACATTCTCAACGCTAACGAGCTGCACAACATGCAGCAACATCATCACCATCACCACCAGAACATGACGCACGAAGAGCTGTCGGCTATGATAAACAGGAATAGCCATTTGGCGTTGACTGATCACCACAATATGCTGCACCATGCGCCTATGAATCACCACCTGAAGCAGGAACCTAATGGATACACCCCCTCGAATCATCCGTTTTCCATAACCAGGCTTTTGCCTACGGAGAGCAAATCGGATATCAAGATGTACGCTGATATGCAGTACGCTGGGTATAATACGTTGAGTCCGCTGCCCAATTCCATACATTCGCATACGTCTTTAGGTAACGATTATTACAATAGTCCTTCCTTGTATCATAGTTCAACTGGGACGACGTCCTTGTGACAGTATCCCTTGGCTTAAGGGTGGTCTCGAATATTTTTTCTTATTGTTTTGTGCACTATTATGTTGTGGCGGTGCTTGCAGGATCTGATTTGGTCCTAAATGTATATCTCACTCTTTGGAAAAATACTAAACAGAACTATAGGGTTTTTGGATGTATTTTCTTTTCATCGGATTATGGATCTTGGAAGCAACGCATTCATAATTTTAATGAGTGCTATTATAATGTAAAATTGTAAATAGTTTTTTCTATACGAAACATTGTATGGTGTATTTGTGCAATTTAAATAACAATTTATTTCGAAATTTACAATCGATTTTTCTATAGGTAGGTATAAAAAGTAATATCGAATCCAATAGAAAGATTTCTTCAACTTCAACAGCAATGTTTTTAATATTTTTTGGAGTATTATTCGTAGTTCTTGAACTTTGGCAAACTGTTTGAAGAGTGAATTAGGTATTCAATTTCAAGATAAACCGGGTTTAAAATATGTCGCCGATAAAATCAGTATCTACTGATCAACCTGATTAAAAATTGCCGCCGGACAGTCAACTGGTACATGCATGGTTTTCTGATGATGATATCATTTTCATTATAGATCATTAATTATTGTTCTTGACTGGGGAATGGACTTGGGGAATGGAGCAAAGTGAGAGGAGAACATTCCCCAATAAACCTGTTTTTGACTTGTAAAACTAGTCAGCAACGACTATACACCATACCCTTTCATTGTCAAATTGCCCCATCAGTTCAAATCAGTTCTATTTCATACAGAAACAGGAAATGAAAGAAATTGTATTTTACAAAAGCGCGTGAGGCACATTTTTTTGCTACTGCCTCAAAAGTCTCCCATTTCTCTTCCAAAATTAGTTCCTGAAGGTAAAGTTCCTCGCTGACACAATTAAATCATCAAAACGTATGTTGCTATAGACAACACTTTTAGTGTCTTGGAGCTGAAGAGGATATTTAACTCCTGATGGAAACTAAGAATGAGCCAGGCTGTTGCAGGTGATGAAATAGCTGCTATAATGTTGACGTGCTCATATAAGTCGCATGCACCTATATGTCATTAATTATATAGACAGCAATTTTCAATCGGATCAAAAATAACTGTGACAATTTTGATCCTAGTGAAACAATATACTATGAATGATAAATAAATCTCGAATGAAAACACAGAGTTGAATTTTTTTGTTGGTAAAATCTGAAATCCTGATTTACCTACAAACTTCCAGCTTTAACTGTTGTATGATTATCAGGACCTACTTTTTTTCTACTTTCTAACCATCTATAGAAATAATTGATAGATATAGGTAGGTATCTCACGAAGACGTTGCAATATCTGAAATTGAAGCAAATCATTGAAAAAATTAATATAAAACATTATTATCGAAAAAATCTGACTATATTCACGATTGTCTGTCGAAATCTCACAATGTTTGATCTGCATTTTTGAATACGAATTTATTTATTATTGTGAGCAAATGATTGATCGATATATTATATGATTTGAGTTTATATAAAATGTATATACAAAAATTATTATCTATTGATTTGTAACAACTTATTTTCATCAAATCTTTTTATATATTATTATGTAAAAAATGTAAAATCTGTAAATGTAATTAGATAATGTATAAAGTCTTATAAATGATTTATGATGTTTCAAATATACAGCCTATTCAAATTTTTGTTTGAAGGCAGCAGAAACTTTTACTACTATTTTTATTATTGAACTGACATGAATGTTCTGTTGTAAAAAAAGCCGAATATCGGAGTCAAATGCTATATTATCAAACGGTATATCTACCTATATTGCATGCCTCTAAAGATAAATTTTTATGAAATTCATGTTGTGAAGTACATATATACTTATAACTGATACAAGTACATATATACTTATAACTGATATGCATGTTGAACTGAGGATTTTACTCGGGATTCTACTAATAGGCAAAGAAGTCCAATTCAATTCAAAATTGCAATGATATAATATTGTTTGATAATAATATGTCAAATGGCTCCGTCCCATTATCATCATCAATATATAGGTAAATACTTTATCTGATGTATATAGCCACATTTCTTGGGTGTATAGCTTTATACTTAGGTACCATACCTTTATATCTACTTATAATAAGAAGTTGGTAATAGTGATGCTGCCATCATTTTGAATAGGGTAAATGTACATTGTTCATCTAGTACTATAGTCCATAATTATTTTCAATTGGATTCTTGTATATTTGAAAATGAATTCATAATATAGTTCTGAATGATATATATTTGAAACGATTCTAATTACGTACAACTAGGTTTGAACCAAATTTGTATATATTGAACATAAATGTATGATATGAATATGTAATTTGACTATTTGTCATAAATAAATGTTCACATCTCTTCGGTATCCGTATTCCGTGTCATATTTATTTCTCAAAAATAATTCACCTATTATTTCCTATATATTTACCTACGTACCTATACCAATCCTACCATATACCTAACAAAGAAATCTGAAATAAGATACTAAAAACAATAAAATAGGAAGACAATGACACATTTTCTGTTTCTGAGTAGGTATATCCGATTTCTGGTTTTGGAATGAAATGAACCAAAGAATGTAAAAATTGTTGGCTTGTCTCTCTCCTTGTTAAATATTATAATAAACCTATTTCAACATAATTTTAGCACAGTTTATGGAATGTATACCTATATTCTCTGAACCTATATTCTCTGAACTGTGCTTTTAGTGAGAATCTTATATCAGATGATTGGCTCCAAATATAATAATTAGAAACCTACAAGAGAAATTCAATTGATAGTCAGCGACAACTTGTTTGAAAATTTTTCCATGAAGAAGAACAAATCTGCTCCAGCGTTTTCAACATGGAAATTGAAAAAGTACCTAAATCAGAGTAGGCATCATATTATTACCAATTATAAGTATCTATGATTCATTATAAATATAGGTAAGTATACAGTGTTTTCGTAAAATACCCGAAAGTACCTATATATACTGAGTAAATTAATGTTTAAACGTTATTGGTAGAAGTTCATTGTATATACAGTTCAAAGTGGAGTGATAGGGTTCGTATTCAATGAGAAAAGCACAAAGTCATCTCAACAACTTTTTAATTTGAAAACATCAAATGAGGAACATGTTTCGGACATATTATGCAATGCCCATCTTCAGCCTATGCTATATATAAGAAGTCCTATACAATACAAGGAGATACATCATACATAAAAACACCTTTTTTTAAAAAGATTACCCTCACATGGAAATGAAAAGGTTATGTAAATAATAACTAGGAGTTGCGTCAGTACGTGAGAAATATTTTTATTATGTATTTGTTAAAAATGCCAACAGTGACGTATCTCATAATCCGTTTTGCTGCGGAGATTGAAATATCTCTAGTAACGTCTCAAGGCATTGATGAAAAGGGTACTGTAAGTTATTGTACAAGTCGAATGAATTTCTCTGCTTTTTTTCAATAAAAATGAATATTTAGATCTGATATTCATTTTAATTCACTCTATATCCATATGGGCATATATAAGACCACATTAACAAACATAATCTCACGTAGTAAAGTATATATCTGACAAACATATTTTTTCTCTGTTTTTGATGGCAATGATTCTTCGATATCTCGCCATATCATAATAACTAAGTAGTTCTAGTTTTTCCGTTAATAAATGAAAAACAATAATTTATTGAAATCGAATATTCTCAGATAAATTATCAACATGAAAAATGGATATATATACTTATACAGGGTGGCATTGAAATAAGTGCAAATATTTCAAACACTATGAGAAAGCTCGACGTGTACTATTGAATGGCACTCATAAAAAAATTTAGTGATCAAAATAAAATTTGAGGTTATATCCCTTTTTTCGCCCAAAGTTCTACACTGTAGCAAAAATCTGATACCATGGGAATATTCCTCAGACTGTATCATATTGATGTGCTGCGAATATGTGCACTTATTTCAAAAACACCTTGTATAAAGAAAAACATTTATAGAAATTCGAATTCTCTATGTTATGAAAATATCAATTCTTCTTCGGTTTATTAAACAGAAAACAACTACTTTCCTGGCTATATACCACGACGAACATTGAATTATCCTTATAATATATTGAACACACACGACAAGAATTTGAAGAAAGATCTTCTAAAGTTGAGAATTTTCATTCTCCTTCAGATAAAAATATGTACAGGGTGGCCAACTGAGAATCCAGAGTTCGATACCTCTGTTGTCTTGAGAGATACAGAAAAAAGTTTTGCATTCAAATTAAAGTGATAACCGAGCTTCACATTTCAAAATTTCTTCGAAATACACAGGGTGTTCCGTAAGGTGACAGCACATCAAAGCTATGTTTTTTTCATTTGAACACCCTATATTTTATTTCATTTTTGAATTCTCCCTGAAGATCTGATTTCAACGACGTATCATACTTGGGTCTAGCAGTGAAAGTTACTGACATATAGGGTGTGCAAAATCGAGATTTTCCAAGTCCAGGATTTTTTTCTGTCGAAACTGTTCATTATTCGTCAAAACGGTTTACATGTCCCTATCTCAACTTTTCACTCACTATCAATTGGTGATCAATTGATATTTAATTGAAACGAATTATAAATTTAGATTTTTTGACCATTTTGTATCAATTTCAATTGAACACCAATTGATAGTGAGTGAAAAGTTGAGATAGGGACATGTAAACCGTTTTGACGAATAATGAACAGTTTCGACAGAAACAAATCCTGAACTTGGAAAATCTCGATTTTGCACACCCTATATGTCAGTAACTCTCACTGCTAGACCCTAAGTATGATGGGTCGTTGAAATCAGATCTTTAGGGAGAATCCAAAAATGAAATAAAATATAGGGTGTTCCGATGAAAAAAATATAGCTTTGATGTGCTGTGACCTTACGGAACACCCTGTGTATTTCATAGAAATTTTGAAATGTGAAGCTCGGTTATAACTTCAATTTTGATTCATGATTTTTTTTTGTATGTCTCGAGACAACAGAGAAATCGAACTCTGGAGTCTTAGTTGGCCACCCTGTATATGCACATAACATCATTCTGAATATTCAACAGAAAACAACTACTTTCCTGACTATTTGTCACGTCGAACATTGAATTATATTTGTCGCGAAGATCCATAAAAAAATTCTTTGGCATTGAGAATTTTCACCATTATTACCTATATAGTTGTCTAATTCACTTTATACCAACCTATAGGTACCTATATCCACGATAGAAATAAAGAATTA